TCCACAAAATCATGCATGAATAAAACAATAAGAAAATATGCAAATAAACACACACACACACACACACACAAATTCCTGCCAAAAATAAATATCTAAATAATGTGGGTAGTTTAATAAATAAATTAAATGAACATGTTAGAACATAAGAATAAGAACATGCTAAACTAAAAGTAAATTATTCTCCCTTTCACATCGCACTGTTATTTATTTATATATTTATTTATGCAGGAATTTGTAGATTAATATATACATTTATTTATTAATTTGCATATTTATTTATTGTTTTGAATTTGCGTATTTGTTTACTTATTTATTTGCATATTTAATTATTTACTGTTTTATTTATGCAGTAATATGTGTATTTATTTATGCATTTATTTATTTATTGTTTTATTTATGCAGGAATTTGTGTATATTTTTATTCATTCATTTATTTATTTGCATAATTATTTTTTATTTATTGTTTTATTCATGCAAAAATGTGTGTATTTATTTATTTATTTGCATATTATTTTTGTTTTTTTTATGCAGGAATTTGTGTATTTATTTATTTGCATATTTTTTGTTTATTGTTTTATTCATGGAGGAATTTTTGCATTTATTTATATATTTACATATGTATTAATTTATTTTTTTGTTTTATTTCTGCAGGAATTTGTGTTCTTATTTATTCATTTATTTATTAATTTGCAGGTTTTGTTTTCCATAGGGCTGCACAATATCAGAAAAATATGACAATGCAATATTTTGTTTTGCTGGGATATGAAAACAATTTTACCAGATGGCTTGAATAGCTGTATTTGTAAAAATAAATAAAAAAAATAAAAAAATAAAAAAATTATAAAATAAAATCATTCATTTAGATGGTTAGGTTGATTGATAGGGTGTGATCATGTATAAAAAATTTAACTGAAAAAAAAATATTACAATAGAGCAAAGAAAAAAGTAAACAAACAGTTCTTCGTGGTTTTCTGGAGAGTCAAACAGTATTCAGATACAGAAATTTAGTAATGTAAAATAAGACTTTATAGTCTTCATTGTATAAATAAATCAGTCAAATTTTTCTTCTTAAAGTTACAAATGTTTTATTATTATAGTATTTCATTACATCATTAAGCTGAAATGCTTTACACTTTCTTGAAACACATGCACATGATAAAGTTTGACTGTGCTATGGTTATATGTTGCAATGACTCCAGAAATCTCAATTGTTGATCAATTATAATCATAAACTCAATGTTGCATATCCTGCTATGTGACTATTTGCAATATTGATGCTGAAACGATTTATTTTGCAGTCCTATTGTGTACCTATAATGTGCAAGGTAAAATAAGGTAAAATATTTCTCTACTTAGTGTCACTTAATTTTTCATAAATCATATTTCGAACATGCTACTTTTGTGCTACAGAAATGATAATAATATTACACTCTACTTCTTTCCCTCAAAGAATTAGTGATTTTGTCCAGCGAGCTCCTTTTCATCAGAGCCCATGACAATGTTTCCATTTGTCCACCCCCGTCCCATCACAATGATGAGGAGAAAGCGAGATGAGAATGGAAATAAACTATAATGGCAATAAATCCCAGAGTCTCAGATCACAATCGGGGGGAAAATCTGACTCATACAGCAAACAACCAATAAACTGGGCAAAAAATGAGCTGACAAGAACAGATGAACACGGGTTACTGCGGCTGACACAAATTAAAGCCTCTCCATCACATCAGAAGGGTAATCACCTATAAGCAGACAGTGCTGGATGAAGCTGGACTGCTGAGCACAAGCTGACGGATGGCTTTGTGTTCATTCAGAGGGAGGCAGATTCTTCTCTCTGGATTTCCTGTTTATGTTGAACTGCAGGTTTGAAACTGCTTTCTGCCCCGACATCAGCTCGCATACGCCACACTACTTATAAACATACATTTTATTTTATTTTATTTTATTTTATTTTATTTTATTTTATTTGATCATTCGTTTATTTATTGTTTTTAGATGTATGCAAAAGTTTGCAGTAAAAGCAAGATTTGTTTTATGTTTATTTGTTTTAATGTATTTATTTGTTTGTTTGCATGCAAACATTTAGAGTAAAAGTATGATTTATTTTTATGTTTATTTATTTTATCAAAACATTTGTAAAATAGTTCAATTGAACAACAAAATAGTAATTTCAGCAAGAGGCAATGCGGTGGCACAGTAGGTAGTGCTATCGCCTTACAGCAAGAAGGTCGCTGGTTTGAGCCTCAGATGGGTCAGTTAACATTTCTGTGTGGAGTTTGCATGTTCTCCCCGTGTTCGCGTGGATTTCCTCCGATTTCCCCTACAAGTCCAAAGACATGCGTCACGGGTGAATTTGGTGAGCTAAAAATTGTCTGTAGTGTATGTGTGTGAAGGAGAGTGTATGGGTATCCCCAGTGATGGGTTGGAGCTGAAAGGCATCCGCTACGTAAAACATATGCTAATTAAGTTGACGGTTCATTCCGCTGTTGCGACCCTTGATTAATAAAGGTACTAAGCCGAAAAGAAAATGAATAAAGGAATTTCAGCTGGAATACATAGAATAATATCAATATGTGAGCAGCAAAACTTAAGTTTTTGTTTTTAACAATTATTCTTTATAGCTGCAACAAAAAATAATATAAGACTGGCAAAATTGTTTAAGACTATAATAAATATTATAAATATATCTAAATAATAATATTAAAATGATAAAAAAATGCAAATATTAATAATATTAATATATAATGAATATATTTAATAATAATAAATACATTTATTAAAATAATTTAACCCAATAAATAATAATTTAAAACAAATAATAATAATCTGAAAAATAGCCATGGCCAATTCTGGGACATTTTACAATTAGGTTTATTAATGTGCATTGACCCTGTAAAAAAATAAAATAAAATAAATAAATAATAATAAAAAAACAAAATTATATATATATATATATATATATATATATATATATATATATATATATATATATATATATATATATATATATATATATATATATATATATATATTTAAAATAAAAAAATAATAACAAATATTTACAAGAACATTAATCTTAGCTGTAGCTCAATTATTACTCCCAATTAATAATAACTTAAGACAATTATAGATAGTATTATTAACATATATAAAATTGTAGTAATATAGTAGTAAATAGTAGAAATAATAACAAATATTTTAAAATATAAATATTATTTTAACAACATTATTTCTCGCAATTAATAACAACTTAAGACAATAATATATATTATACCTAAAATATACAAAATAATGCATTTACAAAAATATGAATATTTAACATTACTTGTTTATTTTTTTCCCCCCAAATTCTGTTTAACAGAGAGAAACTTTTTTGATACATTTCTAAACATAATAGTTATAATAAGTCATTAATAACAACTGATTTACTTGATCTTAGCCGTAATTATATTTTTAAATTTTTCATTTAAAGGCTTAACTAGGCAGGTTAGGGTAATTAGGCAAGTGATTGTATAACAATGGTTTGTTCCGTAGACTAATGAAAAAAATATAGCTTTAAGCACTTAATAATTTTGACCTTAAAATAGTTTTTAAAAAATTAAAAACTGCTTTTATTCCACCCGGAATATAAAACAAATAAGACTTTCTCCAGAAGAAAAAAAATTATCCGACATATTGTGAAAATTTCCTTGCTCTGTTAAACATCAATTGGGAAATATTTAAAAAAGAAAAAAAAAAATCAAAAGGTGGGCAAATAATTCTAACATCAACTGTATATATATATTATTTATATTTTTATACATTATTTCTCCAAGGAAATAACTTTTTATTATATTTTTTTCTACTTTTGAGTAAGATAGACATGGTGGGTTTGTTGAGTAGAGAGAGGTCCACTTTAAAATAAGTGTGATGTGATTGTGTTATGTTACTGTGCATCTCCTTCTCTCTGGATTAGTTGTTTGTGAGAATTAAACTGCAGGTTTAAGGCTGCTTACTGCCCCGAGATACACTCAAATACTGTACTTTCACACATACATATAAGCACAAGTTCAAACGTGCTGAAAACACGCAAGACACACCATCAGTTGTGTACTTTCACATGCACACAAAACTTCTTGCGCAAACAAAAGCAGCCCCACACGTTTACATACACGAGCATGCAAACTGTTTTATAAATGGTATATACAGTCTCAGCATAAATAAACACACCCTAACAGATTTCTCAGAAGACAAAATAAGAATAATTCTTTTAAAAAGGAAAAAAATACATAATTATTTAGACTTTTCTATGGGATATTTGTGCAAATCTGGATTATTGTTTTGTTATTTAACTCGATTAGTCAGTAACAAAGAATAATATTTTTAATAATTTATTAAATAATAAAGCTTAACAATAAACATGATTGATTACACAAAATAAACACAAAACAGTATAATAAATATATCAAAACATAAATGTTAGTTTTAACAACATTATATCTCCCATTGAACAACAACTTCACAGAGAGACAATAATAAATATACTAGCTAAATCTAAAATTAATAATAATATATATATATATATATGTGTGTGTGTGTGTGTGTGTGTGTGTGTGTGTGTGTGTGTATGTATATACAATTTTAACAACATAATTTCTCCCATTAAATAACACCTTAATATTTTATAAATAAATAAAAATACATACATATTATTTATTATTTCTTGGTATGCATATAACAAATTCAATATTTAAAATATTAAATATTAGTTTAGCATAAAAAATATATACCTTTTTTATTTTAGGTGGCCGAACTTATATTTTAATATATACATCTGTGCAATAAATCTGTTTTATAAAACAAAAATGCACCAATACGATTGTCTATATTCACAGAGAAATGGATAAAAATTTTAGGTGCTTTATCTCTCTCACACAATGGATAAAAATTTTAGGTGCTTTATCTCTCTCACACATACACACACACACTATTCATGGCAGACGCTGACATTTATGGTGTTTTACCTGTCTAGATGATATGCTGCGATCTCAGCATTGTGCCTCTCGAAATCAGAGAAGTAGAAGAAGTCTGGTGGTGTCTCCTGCTCCCGTGTCTGCCTGCAAGGCAAAGGTTAATCTGCTGTGAGTCTCTTTCATCAACTAAAGTCATAATCGCAGCTCTAGCCCTTGAAACTGAAGACGCCATGTCAAGAAAACTTTGAGAAATGCCCTTCCATTATCAGGGCTCCAGACTAAAAGTTCGGAGAATGAGAGAAGTTAAGACAAATAGTGACACCAAAGCTTGATATACATGTAATATAATAATAAATATTATAAATATATATAATATAAATATAATAAAAATTTGAAGTTTTATCTCTTAAAAATGCACTTTTGACAATGTCAAGAGTAGCAGGAGTTTGAGTGGGAATGTTACAGCACATTGTAACAATTAAAGTATAGACTGTATACAGTTAAAGTTCATTATTAGCCCTCCAGAATCATTAGCCCCCCTCTATATTTTTCTCCAATTTCTGTTTAACAGAATTTAGATTTTTTTTCAACACATTTCTAAACATAATAGTTTTAATAAATAATTTCTAATAACTGATATTTTTTATTTATCTTTGCCATGATGATAGTACATATTATTTTATTAGATATTTTTCAAGATACAAGACTGATACAAGAGTGCAATTTCAAGACTTACCGAGGTAAATTTTGGTAATTAGGTAAATCATTATATTATGAAATTTGTTTTGACACTTTCATTCATCTTTGGAAAACAAATTCTATGTTATATGAAGGTATTTTAGATGAAATCAGAGAGCTCCCTCATCCTCCATAAACAGCAACAGTCACGAGATATGTAAAGTCCAGAAAAGGAACCAAAACATTATTAAAAATGTCCATCTAATTGAGGGGTTTAAGTGGTTTCATATGAAGCTTCAAGAACACTTTTGTGCAGCAAAAAACACAGCTTCTTATAAATTAAGGTAGAATCAAAATTTTATCCAGTACATAACGGTTACCAAGGTACCGGTGCTATAATGGCACCGGGTTTCGGTCCCAACCCTACTTGTAATATGACAAACACTGAAAATTATTTATTTTGGTTTCAAAAGTGCGAGTTAATTATTTTTACTATATTACTAGAAAAGTTATTTTTAGGCAATGTGTTTTACTTTCAGTTGTTTAACATTGATGTTTAATAAATAACTATAGATAGTAGATAGTGTGTTTACTTCAATTATTTTAAAATCAAATAATGCGCCCTTCATTTAAACATCTCTCACTTGTAATATGTGAGCAAATTTACTGTAGAAAACCTGTCAGTAAACCTTTTAGCAAAAAAATAAAATAAATAACCTAAATAAAATAATCGTTCATTAATCGTAATCGAGTTAAAACATTCAATTAATCAAGATTTTGATTTTAGCCCAAATCACCCAGCTCTAACCCTAACCTGACGTGGAATAAAAGACATAGGTGAACAGAGTCCTATTTAGAGTTGTTTGTCCTCTTCTTGGAGCTTTGCAAAATCAAAGTTGTAGCACTGAAGTCACATTAAATGTTTTGACAGTGTTTTTGGTTCCTTTTCTGGACTTTCAGCAACTTAAGAGGATGAGACAGCTCTCTGATTTCATCTAAAATATCTTCATTTGCATTTCTTATGTAATTGGAATGAAATGAGGGTCAGTAGGGTAATTAATAACTAAATTTTCATTTTTGGATGAACTAATACATTAAGAACGTCCGAAACGATGTTACTGTACATGTGCATTTAAGAACAGACCAAACAGCACGAATGCAATATCGTTAAATCAATACCTGTAGGTCAATGGAGGACATATCAAATTCCAGGCAAACATTTCTCTACAGAGAAGAGCCAGCGAAACTATTTTTAACCAACAGCCCGACTTCATACAGTCCTGCTGAAATGTTTTCAGCAGACTCCATTTCAAACATACTTGAGATTTCTCTCTTCCCTTCCCTTCTCTCTCCCTGAATGCTGTCCGAACGTCAGAACAATTAAATCCAGCTGGAATCTCTGCTTTCTCGACAGTCTTAATCATGTCAGAAGACGGTTCAAAACAATGACTTCTCTGGGAACTGAATCTTGTCACATCCCAGCATCTACAGTATGTGGCAAAAGCAACCGAAGGCAACGTATCTGGTCGAGAGGAGTGCCAGCTCAGTAATGGAAACAGATCGTTATCTTGGCGAAATCAGCCATTCAGTATCGTCCTCAGCTGGCGGCGGTCATTGAACGCACAGCTGCGAGGCTCACACGCTCACCGATCGTTAAATAACACAGCATGAGGCCTGCCAAACGAAAGTCTCCAACTTCACATTCTTCTGCAGTCCGTTCCTCAGAGCCCCGGATAATATCGCTCCGCTCGCCAACTGTGAACCTCTTTTCAGGCATGAAGAGAATTAAAATGGATTTGTGTTTCTGCCGGAAGAAACGGGCCTAGTTCTGGAACGAACCCAGAAGCGTCCTTATGATGAACCCGCTGGATCTGTGCCCTCAGACGCTCAGATGTTTAATTGGCAGACAGGCGTGGACGGGTGATTCTGCAGCCATGGGCACTTTTGGCCCTCTGGATGACTTCTAGAAAAACAAACTCCCCTAAAGCAACGATCGCTCTCAGCATTTCATGTCATTTGTCCACAAGCAACGTCCAGCAGTGTTTACAATTAAATATGAAGAGTTCAGATGCAAAAGCCTCTAAGTGTCTGCTGAAATGTCTTTCTAAAATAAGTATTTTTTCTCAGGCTGCTGTTCATGTTCATGTTTTCATGGCATTGAATGTGCTCTTTTTATTGCCTTTAAAGTGTGTGTGAAATCAAAATGCACAATGTTTATTTTGCTAGCACACATTGTTATTCTTTAGGTGAACAATTAATCTGGGAAAAATCTGTGATCCTTTCAGTTAATCCACTAAAGAAAAAAGTTTGATTTGGTAATCTTCAAAGTCTGACCATTTGCACTGAACAAGTGCTACAGTAAATATAAATACTCAGTAGGGCTGCATGACTCTGGAAAAATATGATATTGAGATATTTAATGTGTTTGCAATAAGTATTGCGATGGTGGCTCAATGGTTAGCACTGTCGCCTTACAGCAAGAATGTCGCTGGTTAGAGTCCCGCCTGAGTCAGTTGACCTTTCTGTGTGGAGTTTGCATGCTCTCACCGAGTTAACATGGGTTTCCTCCTGGTGCTCCGGTTTCCCCAAAGACATGCGCTATATGGGTGATTTGAATAAACTAAATTGGGCGTAGTGTATGAGTGTATGGATGTTTCCCAATACAAGGTTGCAGCTGGAAGGGCCTCCACTGTGTAAAACATATGCTAGATAAGTTGTCGGGTCATTCGCTGTGGTGACCACTGATGAATAAAGTGACTAAGCCAAAGAAAAATAAATGAATGAATGAAATATTGCAATTTTCTAGAGGCTGTAACAATATTCAGGTACAGAAGTTGAATAAAAACAAGCTTTTCTTACTTTGATTTGTCTCATTTCTAGTCCAAATATCTTAAAGTTCTTAGATCAACTAATATATTGTTTTGTTTTCAACTTCCGAAGAAATAAAGTAGAATTAAGAGTATTACCTTAAAACAATCAAAATTATCTTCCAGTGGAAAAATAATCTTGATTTCGCTTTGAAATGTATAGATATTTTGACCAAAATTTTAAGTATGAGATAATAATACAAATAATATAAATACAGCAGTTTAATAAAATTCTGTAGCTTTTGGCCAACTATAATCCAGACTCAAGATTACATATCTTATGATGTGAATATTGCAGATGCACACATTGGGCATGGGCCAGTATAAGATTTTGACGGTATGATAAACTTGGATAAAAATAGTAATTACGGTATTGTAATTACTGCTCTAAAATACTTTTACAAAAACTTTTTTTCCCCTTTGAAAACAATTTGTTTCATTTTTTATTTGAAGATTTACAATATTTTAAAACAGTAAACATGTCAGGCTAAATAATGAAAATGAATCATTGACTTCAGCTGTCTTCATTAGTTTCAAAAACACAGATTTCTTTACTATTTAAATTGACATCTTTGCATGTTTTTTTTTTCTGGTGAATATACTGTTGTTCTAAAAAACAAACAAAACAAAATGTAAAAAAAAAAAAAACTTACACATACCTTAGGAACAGTGTTACAGAAAATTTTGGCAGTTTTAAAATGTTTACTTTTTCAAACTACCGTATATTTTGAAAACAGTTAACGTCCCATGCCTAGCTTACACAGTGATATCGATGCTAAATCAATATATTTTGCAGCCCTAATACTCACTCACTAACTCACTCAGTCAGTCACTCACTCACTCACTCACTCGCTATTTTTGGCTTAGTCCCTCGCCATAGTGGAAATGTGAATAAAAATCAAAATTGACCATTTTACTTGAGAGTTAAATCAGTAACTTTTAATAATTTTCTTGTGTTCATAAAGCATTTACAAACAGCCAAAGGTATTAGCTCTTGGATATCTTAATAGTTATTTTAAAAATTAATTAAGGTCTAGGGGAATTGGATTGATATGAAGGCAAGTAATTAAAGTAAACAGAATTTTCATTTTGGGGTGAACTAACCCCTTTGCTAGTATTAGCAAGAAAAACAAAATTTACCAAAGGAAACATGTGCATTTGTGTTACAATCTACCACAAATCCAGATAGCTTTTGCTTATAACTTCAGAACTCAAGAAACAGCATCATCCAAGGCTATTAATTTAACCAGCCCAATCTCATGAGGAAAAAAATATTCTACGTATTGTCAGAACAGTGGCTAATTTTTACAAATTCATAAGACTTCATGTAAAAAAAAAGGTGTAACCCTACCCTAACCCTACCCCTCATTGGGGAATGAGTAAATTGAACTAAAATGAAATAATGAGCTTGTACTAATTAATTTGAATTAGCCACTAATTAAAAAGTTATAAATTGACATGAGATAGCGTTGTATAACTCAGTCTAAACACTGAAAAAAAATAAATTATGTCTCTTTGCACTTATTAAGCATCACCATGCCCAAACACTTGACCAAAGAACACTATACATCTGCACAAATCTGCTCATCTTTATCAAAC